TTACAACTTTTCATTTATATTATTTTTAAATTTTCAGACAAAAAGAACACAATTAGTATCAGAATCAGATACTGATACAGATGATTCTGATGATACAAGTACGGAAAATGAAAAGATAAAGCATAAATCACTTACAAAAAAAGGAAAATATTCTACTATAGAAAGTTTCTTGACTACAAGTTGCACCTGAACGTTGTACTGACAACGTCTTATAACATCTGCCCAACAAATTTCAGGACAAACCAACGTCTGAAAAAGATGAAATGAAGAAAACTAACAAGAAGAGAAAGAGACCTCAAGCCACTTCTTCTTCATCATCTTCAGCAGATGAAAGTAGTAACTCAGATGAATCAGAAAAAATGACAAAGAAACAATCAAAAAAGAAGGTAAAATTACTTCACTTACTTTATCTACATAAATAACATGAATAACATTGTTTGTTTTACATATAGATTCATAAAAAAAAACAAGAAATCACAATCATCAACTTCTGAAAGTGATAGCAGTACAAACAGTACCTCAACAGATGATAATAAAGAAGATAACAACAAAAACAAGGTCCAATTATATTTTACTATACCGTAAAATGGAGAAACTTTGGCTCACCACGATAACTTAGCCCACAGCTTAAAAACGCTCATACAATGCAACACGATTCACTATAGCTTACTGTGAACCATGCAGTAAGGTACAGTAAACTCTTCAATAAGCTACAGTGAACCCTGCAGCACCTTATTAACATTTTAAAAACAATTTTAAGCCATAGGCAAAGATACCCCAATGAGTCAAAGTTACCCCAATGACAATAGCTTTCTGTTCCAATTAATGCTATTGTTTACAATATAAGTCTCTAACTACTTATCACTAATTATTTACAGAAAAACAAAGATGATTTTGAAGAACTGAACAGTTACACCAAACTTACATGTAGAGACCTTAAACTTAAAAGACCATACAAATTAATGGATATTAAATGGTCAAAAGAAGCTGGAAGAAATGGACCATATAAAATCTGTACAGCAAAGTTAGAGTACAAATCAAAATTGTTCACTGTGAAGATACCAACACCCATAGCAAAATATGAAAAAAAACAAAGAGAATTACTTAAATCAAAAATAAAGAAGAAGAAAAACCCAATCTTCACAGTCAACAAGATTACACAGAAGAAATCTCCAAACTTTAAAGGAAAATATGATTTTATAGAATCAGAGTGGTCATAAACAGACACAACAAAACAATCATTCGTTGTTAGCTATTTATAAATTTTTCAGTTACAGGACTTCTCAACTGGCGTCAAATGCTTCATTATTTCTTGTATGTGGACATGTACAATCATAAAAACACCAAGAGACACATTAAGTGTGTTAGCATTTGTTTATATTTCTTCTTTCACGAGACATAGCTCTACATGTCCTATTTTTTTGTTAACTATAAATTACTTCTAATACCTTAATTCAATGTGAACTACTTTCATAAACATAAATTACTTTTTTCTTTTTCGTCTTGTACTATACCTTAACATCGCATTATATATGTAAATTTATGAGAAAGATGCTGTGGATAGATGTCCGCTAACTTTCATACGCATTATTGAAATTTTCAGGTATCAAATACTGTAAAGGTAAATCCACAATAGACACATCAGACACATTAACACATCACACATCACCACACATCACATAATTTCTTAAAGATACACCTCAAAAAATCATGTGATGTGTAAACATGTGTGATATGTTGATGTGTCTAATTATGTCTGATGTCTCTATTGTGAATCCACCTTAAGTTAAACAATAATGCTGGATTTAATCTCGTGAGGTGAGGCGCCTCAGCTGAGGCAGCTTGCATCAGAGGTTTTCAGCCAATCACAATGTTCAAAACCTCTGACGTAAGCTGCCTCACCGTCACGCAATCGGCCTCACGAGACTAAATCCACCATAAGTTAACAACTCATAACTTAATTTTCTACAATTTACTTCAATTTATTTGTTTATTGTTATTCTTAAAATTGTCAACTATGAGTTGGTCAGTACAACTGCATCTGCAAATTCACAACTCCTAAGTTTGCCAAGTGCTCCATGTACCTTATTTCAGTATACACTTATTACACTTTCAGTTAAATTAAAAATATTTCTATGTAACAAACAACATTTCCTGTATTCCTTTTCATTATTTTTTACACAACCTTTTTACTTTAGTATTTGAGCTGAAAACAGAACTTTACACAATACTTACACACGTAAAGAACGAGTTAATCCTTTTATGTATCAAATACGTTTGATACACCTCACTCGCTGCTTTCATACACTGACTCGCTGCTTGTTTTACCCTGGGTCTGTTAATCAAGTCTCACATATGGAACTCTAAGGGAGGACATTTAGCAAATGTCATCAAAAGAATTCAAACTAACCTCCCGGACAGTAAAAGGGCCAAAAAGGGAAAGGCTCCCAAAACAGAAAAGAAGAAGAAAATGCCCACATCCACTGTTGATGTACGTATCGTGTGTATGAATGACACTTTTTATATTGTTATCCTGTTTCTACTTTCACTATTTTTTCTAGATTGAACAACTGCGTCTCCTTCTACCAAATGAGGCAAACCGGCTGGAAATTTTTGATGGGATGAAGAAAACATTCCAAATACGGTGCAGCCAGAGAGACAGTGGAGCCAGCCTGTCCACTTTTCTCCAGGAGTATGAGCATTTCCTTCACTATGATGGAGAATTGGTACGTTCCTTTGATTCTGTAGACCTAGTGTGTATTTCTGGGCTCTGTTACTGACAGAGATTGAAGGATTAGGAAATTATATTTTATCTTAGCCTCAACTGCAAGATTGTATGCCTTGGTTTGTTTTCTAGATTGCTGAAGAATACAAAACTATGTACCCAAACTCCTGTGACATGTGTCCAGAACTCGCGAAATTTGTCCCCAAAGTCATAAAGAATTTTGACGATCTTCAAGTTCAGACATCGTGTCCTGATGGTATGGATGATAGTTTTCTAAATTAGTAACACCATGTACTTCAACATTAATATCGTATTCATATTCTATTTTTAACATTCTCTCACAGACAACATGAAAGCTTGCCTCCTTTTGGCCCGGGAATTACCTCACACCATCAGGAGTAAAAGCAGCACTCCTCTTGAAGATGAAATCTTTGTCATGGTTAAGGTACTTGTAGCTTTACTTTCTCTCTTCTGCTGTGGAATTTATTTATTTTTGTTTTTTATTAACAAATTTTATTTTCCATCTAGACTGGAATTTGTGTTGAGAGCTTTGTGGTGGAGAGGCGATCAACCATGAAAAAGACTGTCCAACCTTACATTCTGGCTGTAAGGAGCCAAATGGGGAAAGAAATTCTCAAGTACTACATTGTTTTGGATAACCACCTGTTGGATGTGGGGCGTATCCCCTTCTTACGCTGCATTGATTGGCTATTTAAGGTCTATGTTGTCTTTGATCTAGAGTATCCCACAACATGGGCTCAATTCTTTCGATTCCTTCAGACTTGTTTTTACAAGATCTACTTTGATGGGAAAAATGATATTCCCCCTTCCTCACTTGAGTTACTCAATAAGCTGGAATCCTTCTAAAGTAGTTACACTTAGATTTGTACTACACGCTTTGTTTGATTACCTGTATCATACATAATATATTTTTAATTAATGTTCATCAAATGTTAGGTAGTTACCTGGTCCCTAACATTAACTAATAATCCTACTTTAATTGTCTTTGATGTGAAGTATCTTGCAACATGCGCTTAATCTTTTAGATTCCTCCTAACTTGTTTATAGAATATCTATTTTGATCGGCAAAACAATACTCCCTGTACCTCTCTTGAGCGGCTCAACAAATTGAATTTAATGTATAGTTGTTTTATGTTTTTTGATTTGTACTTCTCAGTTGGTTTAACTACTCGTATCATCATACATAACTTATTGTCTTTAATTTCTATACATGAAATGTTATGGCTGTAAGGTGGTTGACTATTCCCTTAGACAATTATATCATATTGTAAATAATGATAAAACAGTAATTCCTCCAGTATTCCAATTTGGATTCTTTTATTTGGCCAAGTTAGAACATGCACAAAAGGTAGAAACAAAGGGTGTGTAAAGTCCAAAGTACACAAAATAGTTAAAGTTATCAAGGAGAATTCACAGTAGAACAGACCAAAGTTAGAATCTCATTAATACAACATCAAATCCTCATCAATTTGGTTTAAGTAACAGCAATTTTAAACTATCCTTTGCTGGCTGTTTTGTTGGCTGCTAACTTACTGTAAATAAAGATACATTCATACTGAACTTTGCCTTTGCAAAGAAAGATTGTCTTTAAGTATCTAAAGTTTTATAGGCCGAATATTTGAAACAAAATTCTTGCCTGTATATATCTTAGTAACAGAGGTGCACACGTTTAAAAGTTAAAATACGACAATTTAATTATATTTAAAGAAGTACTCCGGTTGACTATATAGTCTGTTATTCCATGTGATAATTTTGGCTTATGAAATAGGCATAGAAAACAAGTCAACAAATCATTACTGTGAGAAGTAGTGATACAAGTTTCCCATAATAAATTGAGTTTCAAATACATGTTTCATTGGATACATAACTTCTCTGCACCAAGTTTTAAAATTAAATATAATATACTTTCTGCAAGTTAATAACAGTTTTAAACAAGCAGTTTAAAGCAAATCAGCTCCTACTATAAACATTATCTTGGTTGAACATCTACTTTCATTGACTAAAACAATCCTGCCTTGATTTGTCGCCTCTTCATATTATGGTGAGTGTTCTGATACCTGCGGCGCCCATCTGAAGTGTAAACATAATATGTAAATTGATTAGGTAACAATTGAAACATATCTACAAGAATAGTTAGAGATAAAAGAAAATATTTCACTTACATACAAAATTACTTTTATCTTCAGAGCTGTAAGATTCCTTGGACTCGACTTCACATTCCTGGATCGGCTATGATGATAGCTGCAAACAGATGTTGGGCTGTTAAAAGTTGAAACACATTTTTCTGCTCTCCAATAAGTCCAAATTCTCAATCATACCGACACAAATAGACACAAACAGACCAAGGTTAAGTTCCTCCAATTTTGCCCCCCCCCCTCCCAACCTAATGTGGACGATTTGCATGTGAAAATTACACCGATTCTAAAATACTTAGGAAATGGGCGAATGTTCTCACCTTTGGACAGCTTTGACATAACGCGGCAGGTGGGACAACACAGCTGAGAAGATAGTAGACTCCAAGGGAAGCTGTGATGGACGAGAGGAGCAGCTCGAGCGGCTGCAGCTTTGGTATAGGCATCCAGCATTAGTCAGTGTCTGTAACAAAGTGAATGAGTCAATGAAACCACAACAACACTCGAGGTACCCTCCACGGTGTTGCGGAAGTAAAGGGTTTTAACTAGTCCATATCCTACAACATCAACGCTCTCGGGCTCGGGCCGAGAAGTGGGAAGGGGGAAAGAAGGAAACGTAGGCCACGGAAGAGGCAAAATCCAGAATGTGCGTCCGTTATTCGCCTTTTCTGTGGACTGCAAAATTCAGCAAGCTCTCATAGCGCCTGCTGGGTAGGCAATATCTCACCTGCAGTGCATGCGTGCACTGCGGGGTGGTCTACCCTGAGTCTCGCAGGCGCTGAGCTTCCGTAATTTGCCGAATTAATCTGAACAAAACGGGCGTACTTTCTGGACGATCCCCAACACGAAGCATCATTTCACTCGGCTTTTATTGGATCAAACTGAGGGAGTTTCTTGTGGCTCGTTTGACCCGACAGCGGACCTAGCGGCCGACTGGCGAAACATGAGAACGACGGTATGTCCAAAGCACGGAGTATCGCCACTACAACAGCGCGGAGTATTTGCAAACGGTGTTCATCAGCTTTGAACCACAGAGCGCGGGGACCGCCGGTCATTCTAGGTAAGATGTATGGTTTAAGATAAATATGATTTACAATAGCAACTCTATTTTGACATTTCCTGTTTTCATTTGACAGATTTTAGGTGATTAACAAATATGAAGGAGAGTGAAACACTTGGCAGCTGAGGCTCACAGAAGGCTTCACTATACATTGTTTGTATTGTTTATGAGATCAAGAAATTTCATGGAAAGATATCATTGAAACTTCCAGGAGTATGTGAATTGAACTACTTGGTAAGTTATCTGGTTTCATTCAACTCTGACACAAAATTTAAAATCAATCCATTTCTAGACAGACTTTGAATTATGTATACGAAAGACAATTACAACTAAGATATGGCAAGAGTAAGACATAAATAAACATGTCCATGCAAACTTGACAATAAAAATACCATTAAAGAAGCATATGTGCTGCTTCCGACTTCTGGGTAAGTAAAATGATTTAAATCAATGTTCATTCTGTGTAAAATCTATTTATTTTTAAAAAAATATTCTTATTTGTTGACAGGTTTGAATGATTAAATTTCATAGTTAACTGCAGCCTGATACACATTGCAGTTTGGGGGTAGCAATCCCCATAGATAGCAAAAAACAGCAGGCACTTTAATGTGTTGACAGATGCCAGACACAACTGAGACGTAGTGAGACAGAAAGTCAACACAAATAGGGAAGAAATAAATAAATAAAAGGTTGGCAGTAAACTTATGAGGAACTACTTTGGTATCTGGCTAGTAAAACTTTAATCAACTTTTTGTTCAGCATATAAAAGTACTAAGGGCCCATTTACGATCGTCCGGGCTGTCTTAAATGAAATTGCATTTTCTGCAGAAATTTATTAATTTTTGGGGTTAAATGGAACCTCCCATTTACGGTGGTCCTTAGCTTAAATAAAATTATAGTCCCCGCCATGACAGAAACGAATGTCACTTGTCGTCGGCGCCATCTTTGTTTAGTCTCGTCTTGGCCTCTGATTGGCTGTTTCGAAACCTCGCGCCCGAAATCCGAATTTCATTTAAGCTAAGGACTAGCTTAAATGAAATGAAGACCATCACGACGGTCTTCATTTCATTTAAGCGTGAGCCGTATTTCGACAAGAAATGAATTTCATTTAAGGGGCTGGCAACGTAGATACTCCCATAAGCCACAACGCGTTGGTCAATTTAATTTAAGGTTCCGCGAACGATCGTAAATGGGCCCTAAAAATAGTGTTCAGCAAGCGTTACTAATAAGATGTAAGGACAATGAGTTAAAATGAAATTTACAGTTGAACGTATTCTCTTGTAAGAACTATTTCAGTAATGAATTTTTATTGTTGATGTAGAAAAATATGATATAAGCTTACCGATGTGGTCATTGCAATTCTTGAGGTTCGTAGCAAATTCGGTTTGGTAGAACAGTATTTTCTTTACTCAAAATATACCTGCTCGAGCAAAAGTCAATGGCTTGAGGTTAAGTAAGCAAACATACACAACCAACCGACTGCAACCGATCATGAGACACATTAGCCAGAACCACGACTGAAAAAAATTACAGGAAACATCCAATGCTCTTAACCTCTTGATAACTTTTTTTTTCTGTTTTTCTGAAAAGAGTAATGTGCACCAGCCTCTAGACCCTCTAGACGCTTTTGACCCCAGCCTGCGAATAACATTTTAGAGCGACATGCGGATAAACCTACGACGCAGATGATCCTGCAAATAGCGACGTTCTGGATGAACTGGAAGAAAGAAAAACAAATACAAACATAGTTAGTTTTCGTGCCGTAACGTAACACATCAGGCTGTTACGACTCGGTCTCGTTGAAAAATGTCATTTGGGTGTGCCAGATCTCAAATTTATTGTTTTGAGATTAGTTCTTCCAACGGACAAAACAAAGTGCCTCCTTTGCTGCACCAGTGTTCAAGTGCAGAAGGTCTTCCTAGAGATGTTGTCAGAGTCTCAGTGTTGTGAAATAACCTTGTGCCCCATATATTATTCAAGTGTAGAAGATTTCCCTTGTGCGGTTATGGGTGTTGCCTTCAGTGTCTGTGACAATGACATGTTTTCCTTTGAAATACACCCTGACAAGTAAGTTTATCGCCAGAAATACTTCTCATTATTTGATTGCTTAGGAGACTGGTCCTGCAGTATAACAAGTTGCTATCAAAATATGATGGGACAAACTTTATTAATAATAATTACAGACTTACTTAATCCTTCACTGTATAATTTTGAGCCTAATGATATTGGTACCGTGCAAAGTTAGTAAGAAGGGTTAAGGCATAATGTTTATTTATTTATTTATTCGTCTCAAGAGCAAAGGATCGTATCAAGAAGCAGTTTACAAGTGTCTACATTGTTTAGTGGGCGGAGATGGTTTGTAGATCGAACAATATTTAGCGGCACAGGCAATATAGGTACAGGTCTGTGGTCCTTGCTCTTGTCAAATGGACATTTTTGTCCAGCTATGACTGTTTATTTTTGTCCAGTTTTCAATGGACCTTTTTGTCCATGTACAACTGTTTATTTTTGTCCAGTTTTAAGTGGACCGATTAGTCCCTTGAAACTATGAAGATTTGTCCTTCCAGAGATGCGTTTTTGAAAGAGAACATTTTTCCCCGGGTCAGGCACTTGTCTTTTATAATTGACAAATTTGTCTGTCTCAGGATGCAGATTTGTCACCAGAAATTCACAATATTGTTGCTTTTGTAACGTCCAAAATTTCATCGCATCTTTAGACAGAATTGTCCCGGGAAAGATGTGCGTAAAAAGGTGACCACCCAAGTAACTAATTTGTCCGATACTTTTGGACAAAATTGTTGAACAAGTGCGTAACTAACAAGATTACTAAACCAGCTTTCGAATAGGATAGGTGTCCTTTCGGTCTGATCAAAATATATCCTCCAATTTATGAAAATAAGCTGATGTGTGATCGGCAGCCATTTTGGATTCGGCAGCTTATTTTACATTTTAACAACACTCGCGTGATTTGGGGCGAAACAAGAAGTATCCTATCCTGAGGAGCGTTTCATGGGCTTTCCGGCGCCGTACGAGTTTTTCTTCAACAATACTGCCGATCAAGTTAAAATTTGTTACTTTTACGCGACGGTGGATAACCTCGAGTGCAACCTCCGACATTGTTTTCGTTCAAATATAAAATCGACTTACCTCTGAGGTGAAATATCAACTGTTATAGTTGGAAGGGGTTATGGTACATCATAATATCCAATAATATGAGTAGTAAGGTATACTCATCGTCCCCCCCCGCCATCTTGTTCCCCCATTGTCCCCTCCCAGCGCCATCTTGGATTTTACCCCCATCCCCATGAGGACCGCCCCCTGAACATGTTGTGACATGTCTTGTGGGGTCACCGTCGTGCCCAGGATGAGGTTCGCGATGAGGAGGGTGGCGATG